TTTACACAGGGAAAGAAATACGTAAGAACTTTCGAATTTGAAAATAGAACAAAAAAAAATGCCAAAGTTTATCAAACTCCGAGAATCATAAGTTGAACTACCTGCTTCCTCCGCGACCTCTGTTGCGCTGTTGTTTCTGATGATAACTCATGCTCGTTGACGGAAGTTTGAACTTGATGTTCCATGAGTTTCAGACCAACATAATCGTCCAAAAAACGCATGTAGCGTCGACGATTTCAAATAACAGAGAGGAAACCTAATTCTTTATATGTGACATTTACAATGGAAAGGTTTCCAAGCAGTCATACGCTAGCGACTGCTTCTATTTCCTTCCCTTTCAGAAAATCCTGCGTAATAGACTCCCGCGCTCCTTGATCGTTCACGTCCAAACTAAAGAGAATTTACAACTTGATCAAGAACAAACTTTACACAAACTCTTTATTTCGACTGGGTAAGCTTAAGGAAAGACCAACAATTAAAAGCGAAAAAAAATTAACATATAATTTGGCTATGGACAGAAAAAAAAAACAATAGCAACAACAGCAAAAAAAAAAAACATAATGCTTTTACGAGTTGTCACTAGCGTCAGCAGGTAGAGGAGTAGAGGGGTGACCGAAGTCTTGTGTGTTTAGATTTCAAATTAACTTCATCAATGCTTACCAAATAAAATTGCACCACAACAGTTAAAAAACTTCTAAGTCAATGTAAACGAATTAGTTATCGTGAATTAGCACCGTTATAATTTCCCTCTCCCGTGATGCTTCGAAATTCTCACTACTAGTTTGGTCGTTTCGAGTATGGCCCCGTCTTGTCAAAGACCCTTCCCAGCATGCATCCAAAACTTTAGAGGAAGAACGCTGTAGGACCACCCCTCCCCACTGAGTATATCAGAGTAGCTCTTCCGCCCGCCCTTGAATGCAAGAAAAAGGAAAGGAGAAACAACCTAAAATGATACCTGCTTCAAAAATGTGAAAGCAAGGAAAACAAAATTTGCTTTTTAGAAAAATGAAATCGGATAAAAGTTCACCAGGGTTTAAATCTGCTGAAAATCTCAAAATGGCTCGCGAATGAAAATGAAATTGGAGAATATTGAAACAGATTAAGCCGGAAGTGTTCATCCCATCACCGACTCCCAATATTTACCGTCGTGCAAAGCATTTCCGGTTGCCCAGCGGGGGTGTTCGGCATGGACCACCGAAAGGCGTCATCACACTTTTTTTTCATTTTCGGATTTTCCACTTTTTTGTTCACAGGCAATGTTTTTTTATCCCCCAAAAGTTGACCTTCCGCATTCTCTTTAAAGTCTTTAAGGAGTTTTTCCTTGAACATCACCATCCAGTCTGTAGCCTTACCTTTTCTCGCAACCGTCCGAGAAGAAATAATCGTATATTGACTGTACAAATATGAAAGCTCTCCACATCGTCGGTATTGCCATTTCATCTCCAGCTTTTTCTATCGGAAGCTTGAAGACGTCATAATGGCTGCGTAGAACCGCGCGCTGTAGAACCGCGAGAGCCTTGACCTAGTCTGTGCTCAAAAAAATGTCAAAGTTAACTTAAATGAAGCTATACAACAACTGTAGTATTTAATTTGATAGCTAGTTTTTAACAGTGGTTAGAAATTACCTCAAAATCTCTAAAGGATTTTATATTTCGTTTAATTCTGGAAACAGCTGGGGCCGGAAAAGCTTAGGAAAAGCAGCCAACATCGATCGTCCCCAGGGCTATGGAAGCGATTTAACTTTGGTTTTGGTCGGCATGGTTTATTCCTCTAGATTTTTAAAACAGTCACGATGGCGTCCATAAGTTCCTTTGAAATCTAGAGTAAGAGTGACTTTGCCTTCTTTGAATCGTTGATAGCCTGGAGTCAATTTAATAAAATTTACTAGCTGTAGACTGTAAAGGTTTGTAATGAACGGTCTACATGTGCGGTACCAACAATTAATTTCCAAAAAATATAATTCCATGATGTTAGTTTGAAAAATTATTTTATTCTGTGTTCAAAACCATGTGAAACCGAGTAGCGAAATAAACAATTTGTCTTACGCTATTGTCACATAATACCGGATAACTTTTCGTGCCAACAAGAAAAGTATACAATAGCAATTGCACAGAACTGGAAAAAGTCGTTTACACACATCGAACATCGTGCCGCAGAGCGGTTGGCCTAAAAGGTTTCGTGAACTAAATTAACCAGTTCCACTCCCGAAGATTTACTTCCGTCCCTCTCAAATTATTCCACTTCCGCTACGGTCCGAATACCTGTTCACATTATACCATAGTGTGGCACAGAACCTATCCGATATGTGGCGCTCCTCTATAGAGATCGGTGCAGCCTTGGTGCAAGAGCTATACGGTATGGTGTGAACACAGCCTTGGCAAGATCAGGGTTTGAAGTGCCTCAGCGGCTCACCCCTACCCAAACTTCCCTTGCGTTCTCTCTCCCACTGGGGGTATCTGGTCACCTCGCCACCCCGGGGGGAGGGGTACTGCCGTATATGGGCTATATAGGTATGTGCTGCTGTGAAGGGTATGGTTTTCAAGCAGTTTACTCTAGGATAGGGTATATAAATCAGAGCGTTTGGGTCTAGAATAGGGTATCATTTTTCAGGAAACTGATCAGTTGNAACTAAATTAACCAGTTCCACTCCTGAAGATTTACTTCCGTCCCTCTCAAATTATTCCACTTCCGCTACGGTCCGAATACCTGTTCACATTATACCATAGTGTGGCACAGAACCTATCCGATATGTGGCGCTCCTCTATAGAGATCGGTGCAGCCTTGTTGCAAGAGCTATACGGTATGGTGTGAACACAGCCTTGGCAAGATCAGGGTTTGAAGTGCCTCAGCGGCTCACCCCTACCCAAACTTCCCTTGCGTTCTCTCTCCCACTGGGGGTATCTGGTCACCTCGCCACCCCGGGGGGAGGGGTACTGCCGTATATGGGCTATATAGGTATGTGCTGCTGTGAAGGGTATGGTTTTCAAGCAGTTTACTCTAGGATAGGGTATATAAATCAGAGCGTTTGGGTCTAGAATAGGGTATCATTTTTCAGGAAACTGATCAGTTGGTTGAAGATTTTATGTAGACTAGGGATTGTAGTATAAGGTTTTGTTTTAGCTAAACTGTGCTAGTGACCTCAGTAGTTTCTGGAAAATAGCTACTCTAGGATAGGGGGGATTTGGGGAGTTTACTCTAGTATAGGGTAGCAAAATTCAGCTGAACTAGCTCTGGTATAGGTTAAGGGTTCAGGGGCACATCCCCACCCACTGAATTCCTAAAGTACCCCCGCCTCCGGACTCGCCACCAACGAAATCGCCTCCAACCATTGTTTTGAACTTTGATTCATGAAGGGAAATTTCTTAACCGTTACTATATTTTATATTTCAAAGAAATGACCAGTGGTTGTGAAACTTTTCTGCCAGTTTTTTGATCTCTCAAATGCCAAAGTTTGCATTCATTGAACCTATACATTTATTTATATTACTATTTGCATTATCAAGAGCATGAGACGTTTGACCTAGGGATCGTCAATTAGGATCGACAGATTTGTATTTGAGTTAAATTCGAATAAGCTTGACGAAAAAGTAAAAAGCTTAGGTAAGTAACCCCAGGTGTTACGTAAACTGTGTCAATTATTCCAGAGTTACTTGTTGGTGACGAGCCGACATATTGTTGGCGAGATGACCGTAAACCCCTCTGGAGGCGCAGTCACAAGAATTTGCTCGAATTCAGTGATGGACGAGTCAAAGTGCGGAAAGAAGGGCGGGAAGGCGGGCGCAAAGGTTAGCGGGCAACCACGAGAATTTGCTCGGGTTTTAGCCTGACGATCATAGCATTGCTCGAACCTTCTACTTCCGCAAATCTTTCTCTGCTTTCAAAATCAAAGATGGCGACAACTGCGTTCACTTTTTACGAATTTAATCTGTTTTTACTTTGGGTTGATAGCCTTTGTCGTTTATTTCATTATGTCTTGTGTTTTTACGCCTCCCTCTCTCCCAGTCCCCTATACTTGGTCATACATAACATTACCCACCTACGGTTGACATCAAGGTGGCCTGCGTAGCAGGCGCTTGGAAGTTGTATGTGGGAAAGAACAGGGCGTTACTTCCAAGTGCCTGATATAACTACATACAACTCGGGGAAAAGACGCAAAGAAAAACCTTTGTAAAAATGAAGCCAAGCAAGAGTCCAGACAAGAACAGGGTGCCTGTTTTTGATCGATTAGGTCCTCGCCATTCTTGATTACTGTTAACCTGGGACAAGGCTTCTTGAAGGGGAAAAATGGCCAATAATAAGCAGAGCGCAAAATACCGGAAAAAGACAGGGGAGAGAGAATGATCGGGCCTCCTCAATCCTCTGCACGGTTCGCCTCTTCCATCGCGCTCGCCCCATTATTCGCCCTTTTCACCCAATAGGCGAATCTTTGCCTCATTAACATATGCTCATCATTATCTGATAAAGCTAATAAAATAAAACCTCTGAATATTGAAAGAGCATAACAATTTCAGTTATCTCTGAAAATTTGAATCCAATGTTGAAAATTGCACAAATTGCTCAAGTTAATCAGCTCTTTCAACTTTTGCATTTAAAGAAGGCATGGATGGACAAAACTGAAGAAGACGACAACGGACCGCAGTAGGGTTAACATTTGTTGGTCACGGAGGTGTCCGCGTTCAAAATATCAGACTGCCTTGAGCACCGAGGAATAGATCTAGACTGTGTTCCATTGTGTTCCATGATGCTATCCACGTTTCATTTGTTGCGTATCCAAACACAACTTTACTCTGAAGCCTTCTAAGCTGATAATTTTAAAATACTGTTTTACATCACGGTCTTAAAACTATTAAGTCTCTTCATTAAGTAGCCATTTCATGACTATTTCTTTATGTAATATTTACTCTTATTTCTTAACCCTCTTAGAGAATTTTTACAGTTCTCTGGGATTTTAATTGGCGCTGCACCAAGCAGAGAATCGTTCAAGATGATATCAACCGAGTTTACTGGCTGGATCCTGTTGCCTCTGCCAAACGAAGTACATTTCTTGCCTGTTGAACAGTTGGCATATCAATCATATAACCATGGAAATCTATAGCTCCCTGTTGGCAGAAACAGATGAAAATTAAGTCAAATCTCTCTTAAAGGACAGCTAGCTCTATAAGGCAGGCACTCCCTAGACAGACACCTAGTTGGTCCCTGTTTCCCTAAAACAGACACCAAGAGTTGATCCCTATTGTTCTTCAATCATTTTCTTTGCCCCTCTATAAGGTGGACACCTCCCTAAAGCGGACACCTAGAGTTAGTCCCTGAAGTTCTTCAGTCATTTTCTTTGACTCTCTACAAGGCGGACACCTCCCTAAAATGGACACTTAGGTTTGGTCCCTGTTGTTGTTCAGTCATATTCTTTAACTCTATATATGGTGGACACCTCCCTAAAACGGGACACCTAGAGTTGGTTTTTGTTGTTCTTCAGTCATTTTCTTTGACTCTCTATATAGTGGACACCTCCCTAAAACAGGACACCTAGGGTTGGTTTCTGTTGTTCTTCAGTCATTTTCTTTGACTCTATATATAGTGGACACCTCCCTAAAACAGGACACCTAAACTTGGTTTCTGCTATTCTTCAGACATTTTCTTAGACTCCCTTTAAATAGAACATCTCTTTAAAATGGACTGCTAGAGTTGGTCTTTACTGTTCTTCAGTCATACTCTTTGTTTTTCTTTGGCTTTCTGGCACACACCAACACTGCTCATGACATTATGCCAAGGTATTTCCTTGGATCATCTATTCCACTGACCTTTCCTTGTTTTTCTTGCTCTTCAAAAGCAGTCACAACATCTGATGCCCATTTGAATTTTTCTTCACTTGGAGAAAATGCCTTGTTCACAATGTCTATTTGTCCAGGATGTATTATTTGTTTGCCTGTAAAGAGAAAGACCAGGAAATATGGGGTGGACACAATATGAAACCCCCTGTAGACAAGTCTTAGATTTCAAGCATGTCAGGGACAGTTAGACAGAAAACTTCTCTCCGAATGGTGACCAGGGTGCGGAACTCCCCCTCACTTACAATCCTCTCCTGGGAATACGTAACAACATTTCTGTTACAAAATCTTACATTTCACATCATTGATGAAGTTCAAGCACTTCGAATGAAATATTCGATTTGTTTGAAATCATTGCTCTGACTTGAAATTTGTATGCTAAAACTGGATGTAGAAAAGGTTCTTATACAAATCTTCATATGCCACAGCAAATTTTCAGTGCACGTAAAGAACAAACTTACTAAAGCTAACAAATCACTACATATCCTTGGAACGCTGTGCTAAGAGGGGTACAATCAGTCAGAAATAGACCTTCTCTTTAATACAATAGTTTTACCTAATATTAATTATGCATTATCTGTCTACGCCACGTCCGAGCCCAATCTTACACCTGTACACTGTTTCTTAGACCACTGTTTTAAAAGAAAATAAATGTCTAAACCTGTAAGTGTTTATGATTTCTTAGAGAGGCAAGACCTTAAAATTTTCAGAAAAGTTTCTAATGCTATAAAAGGACATCCACTTTCGTCTATTATGCCTCATGTTAAACCGTCCAGTTATTGCAGGAGAGGCTATAAACTAAAAGAACACCTTACAACTGTAGGTCAATAATACTGCTTGTTTGAGCTCACTATACCTGTGTATCCAAACCTTGCTCCTTCTTCTGCCTGTGATCTTAAACCTTCAGGGTCTAAAACAACACTCTTGCTATTAGCTGCTAACATTAGCTGACAAATGATAATTAAATCAGTAAGTAAATCTGAAACATACAAAAATTTTTTTGAAACGTATATCACCACATATTGATACACTGCTCCTTTAAATGTTTGTTATAATGAAACTAATTAGTAAAGTTATAGCCCGGTGCCAGAGAAGGAGTGAAAGTCTTCCCACAATGCATTGCATTTCAAACTAATATATCAATATTTGGTGACATCATCATTCAGTTTGGACACTTGCACTGGACAAGTCAACATTATGTCCTTTGTTTCTGTTGCAGGCGAGTCTTCAAAATCTTTGACCAATTCACCACTGTGCTTTGTTTTTGTCCCTTAGTGCCTAAATCTCTTATTTCCCTGGACATATTTTCAAATTACCTTTGAAATTAATATACACCATGTCAATTGCTTGGAGGCCGTATGCCTTGGCATGTACTACCACACTCTGACGAGCATGAATTAACTCCTTGACATCTTCAGTTCGGCTGGCCCCTAAAAAAAGAAATTTTTTGCACTTGATGTAGAAGAACTCACGGAACTCACTCAATCAGTGTGAACTACAGAATCACTAGGTGGCCAATTCTGGAGTTTTTTTAAAACAAATACTCTCATTGCCAAGTGGTTAGAGCACTGGAATTTCAGTTTGGAGTCCCCAAATTCAAGTCCCACCCTGACTGATAGCTAGGCTAGTTCTCCATACTTAATCCTGAGCTCAAATCCTCAACCACCCCTGTAAAATTATAGCCAACTGGTTTGTGTCCAGCCAGCTGGAATGTTTCACCCTGTTATGCTTATTCAAATTATTTGTTTCAGTAACTGTTGTTTGCTTGGCCCCACTAGCCTTAGACTTACCACCAGCTGACATTACGAGTTTCACTTTCACAGCAGATAGCAAGCAGAGCAAGCTTTTTATGCTATGAAGCAGCCAAGTGAGAGATGAAGTTGTGAGAGGTTGATTGACAACTTTATCCCCAAGGTCCCTAAAGAGCAAATCTGATTGGTCTGAGCACAGTGACCTGTTTTTGAGTCACTAAAACTAGCACCGGTCAAGAATGAAAAGTCCTTCGACACGTGGCCCATATGAGTTCAGGCAACGGCAAAGGCAACAAGAAGGACAAAACGCAGTAAGTTTACATTAGCAAAACAAGACTAGGCACGTGCATCATGCTTTTTTGAACATTTTGTTAGCTGTTGTTACATGACCATATTTTATGTGGAGGAAGTGAACGCAAGACAACCATTTTCTATATTATTGATATTGACAGTGAGCGTTTTTGGAATTCAAAGGGCCCATTGTAAAGGATAGAATGAGTCTAATCTGGAGTTTATAGAAGGATAGGGTTTGGGTAAATGTATAGCTTTTTTGACATAACGACAACATCTGAAACAAAGTTAACATGTTTGCAAATTATAATAACTACCTGAACTAATAATCCTACCTATACTCACAAGAAAGTCATCAGAACCAAACACTAAGGCCTCAAACTTGAAGGCTTTGTCTTCAGCTCTGCCATGCTCACAGATAGCTCGTAGGTTCAAAAGACTAATAGCACTTTCCATCTGGGTGATTAGGCCAAGCTGACTGCTCTTGGATTTTGCAATAGCTGAAACTTTATCACTTAGCTGAAAGGGGCAATAAAAAAGTCAATCTAGGATAAAGCATGTTGGGTGAATTACCATTCAAATATGGAATTGTGAGTGTTTTATTCCCCTTGTTCACTAAAACTTGCATGTAGTGAATAGTGAAAAGACACATAAAGTAGTGGTGTGCCAGTCATCAATTTCAATCGATCATTGATCAAAATGTTTCAGTGACGTGATAATTGATTATGGAAAATATTAAATTGATGATTATTGCAGGAAAAAGTAAAATTTTTTTGATGGCAAATAAACATAGTAAAAACCTATGGATTGTCTTTTAAATGACCTCATAATTACAGAAGAAAAGAATTTGATCACCCACAAGCCCAGAAAAAATTCTCAGTTGAGTGATCTACAGTCAAGAGACTCAGTAAGGTTGTATTACAAGTTAGTAATGGTACAGTCTAACCTCTCCTTACAGACACCTCTATAATACGGACACCTCTCTGTTACGGACAGTTCGTTTGGTCCCAGAAATGCCAAAAATCATACATTCCCTACCTCTATAATACAGACATCTCTGTAAATCGGACACCTGGTTCTGTCCCTTTGGTGTCCGTATTAAACAGGTTCGACTGTACTTTGAAACGAGCACCAAAGTTAGAATTGCAATCATGACAAAAAAACACACACACGTAATCCTTTCATTTCTCCATGTTAAAAACAGTATCACTACATGTATAGCCTAATGAAGGACAGGTGCCCAAAATCTCAGCTTCCAAGCTTGCGCGTAAAAGATAACTGCAAGAATTTTCAAGGAAGGCTATATAAAAAGAAATTTACCCAATCCAAATGTTCCACAGTATCTACTTTGGGCACCACAATAGAGTGAGGCAAAACCTTTGCTGTTAGGGCAGCTCTTAAATCATCTTCCGCTAAGCCAGTTTCAATAGAGTTGATACGGACACACACTTCACTAGAGCCAAAGTTCAGTTGACCAAGAAGATTGTGAATAGTGCTCCTTGCTTCTTCCTAAACAAGAAAATAGTTATGTCAACAAGGAAGGCCTCTGAGTGAGGGAGGGGGGAGGGGGAGGGACGAAGGTTCACGTTTTGAGGAGTAGGCCATGCCCCTATCAGTATTTAACCCATCTTTATGTTGTTTGTTACCATTTTATCTAGTCTTATGTTGCTGTTTCAAGGCCGTGTCGCTTGTCACAATTTGACCCTAATATGGCCTCAAAAAGGCCAACCAGTGGATGGGAGGTGGTGGAGGAGGAGTGGCTTGAAATAAGGATCTCTGGATTGTAAGTTAAGTGTTCTAACCCCTCAGTCAGACTGCCTAAATGTAGCAAAAACAACTGATTCAAAACAATCCAATGATGCGTAAATCCACAGTGAATGGAAAAGCAAATGAAAACATTTGCTTGTTGTCCGCAGGTCATCCAAACCAGCCCAATTTTCACTACTTTTTTAAGGGATGAGGTGTTTTGATCCACAAAGGCAATGAAATCGACAATATCATGAAATCGAAAACGATATCGATAACAATAAAAAAGTAACCATCGATTTCTAATGATGATTGACTCAATCGATATCAATGAAAAAGTGATTATCGTTAGTTTACTACCGATGTATTCCGATCTATTTATCCATTGCACTTGTCAGCTGTTATTAACATAAATGCATTTTCTAGCTAAGGACCAGAATTCCCTTTAACAAGATCACAAAACAGAAAAAATCTCTTTATTTCACAAGCTTTAAGTTTTCATAAAATTCTCTCAAATTCAACCCAAACAGGTTACCTTCTTGTTTGAAGCGACTCCATCTTCGCAATCCAAAACAACACAATCCGCTTTTAAACCAGTTGCCTTGGTCACTTTGCGCTCTTCATTTCCTGGGATATAGAGAAAAGATCGCCTTGGAGTGTATCCTTGTACATCACACAGCGTCCTAACCTGAAGCCTGCAAGGGTTAGTTTTAAGAAGTGTTCTGCACAACTTGGCCGCCATTTCTCTTCAAGAAGGTCCGCCTTCATGTAAGCTTATTAGTGCGTCCCTATTCCAATGACCTGACCATACCCTAGTTAGTAGCCCACACACTCCTAGCAGCTGCGTTGAAATTTGGTTTTGTGTTTGTTTGTGGAGTGAGGATTACCTCAACGTTGGGAGTTCTAGAGTTAAATTATATAAGACTTTATCTGAAGTTAGAAAGAGAAAAGGAAAATCGTTGTCTTTCGTTCACGTCCACCATTAAACATGAAATATGACTGGAAAATGGAGTTCACGTTGAAGTCGTGCACCAACCGCAAAGAAATGTACGAAAAGAACGATGCACGTGCAAAACTGCTGTTTTGCTAATCTTAACGTATTGATTTTTTGCCGTTCTCGTTGCCTTTCGGAGAGTTGATGGACAGACGGATTGGACACTGAGACACTGGACTGGTTTGAGTAAATGGGCGGACAGACAAACTGGACGGACAAAGGGACGGACGGAGGAAATAATGGAAGGACTGAACAGAGGGACCAGCTGGACGGTCTGGATTGATGGTCAGAGCGCATGGACAGACAGACAGATGGACGGAGGGACAAACGGACGGACACTACAGAGTGGACGGATGGAGTGGACAGAGTTTACAGACGGACGGACAGACCCAGCGGATGGACGGAGAGAACAGGCAGACGGAGTAGACGGACGGATGGACTGGACGGACAGAGTGGACGGACAGAGGGACGGATGGGTGGACGAATGGACGGACTGAACAGACAAAGTGGAGAAAACGAATTAGCTTGCTAAGGTATCGTACATTAATATGCGCCATGTTATTGGTTAAAAGCACCATGCTAAGGTATAGTTACATAAGTGGTGTTGTGGTCATCTAGTGCGACACCTTACTGAATGGTAGAAGGGTTCGTAAGTAAGGGAAGGTGAGGTTTCTTTTTTTGTTTTCAGATCCGACAATGTTAACATAAGCGGTTTTGCTGATCTTGCAGCTGCTGGCGTCTATTCCTCTGATCCCAATCTCCCGCCTTCTTATCAGTTTTTGCAAAAGAGTTCAAAACAAAACACGTCTGAGGAGCCAGCAAAAAGTTAAGATAAATTCATCATGTGCGTGGTTTTAAAAATCAGGCATCTCCTCTCATTAATTCTGACAACAGTAATTAAGACGAAGCTACCTCTGAAATTCCAGTGTAAAACAATTTAAAAGGCAACAATGGAAGGTTTTGTCTTCTTAAATACTCTAGTGAGCGCTTACAATATTGATTATTTCCATCCTAATATCCCACCTTTGTAAGAGAGCCCTTAACGATCGTTATTGACATAAACCATCACACAAACTGCTTTTAAAGCATTTATTGCTTAGAGCATATTACAGTTCACCATGTATGAGAGCAGTATATTTCACCACATTGTTAAATAAGTCTCATAAGCTAGCAAACACTACTAGTGCAAAACGTTAATTTACTTATTCAAGTGTTCTACTCTTGTACTGTAAGCTGTGCAACTCTATCGCCACGGCAGTTGGTTAAAGGAAGTCATACATTCATCTAACTGAAAAATTGGTTTATAATATTATTCACTTTGACTTGTTTTGCTTATTACATACACTAACTATCCAGGAGGTTGGCCACTAAAAATCAATTGACATCAAATTCTTTCCTCTTGATTTTCAAAGGCCAACCTTTTTATCACGATAATTTATTTAATATCATTGACATCTGTGTCAAACCTAATCCTAAGCTTTGCTTTCTGAGGAGGGAATAAGACACTTTCAGCACGTTAAAGCAAAACCTCAGGGTAGAACGGAACCTTACAACGAGTGCGTGTGGAGCGCGCAACCACAATACTTAGCTTTAAAGTTCCAGAAAATATGTTAGTGCAAACACATCAGACAAGGTTAAGGTTATTTCCGAGTTTCCCCAGCTACTGTTTCTCTGTTTCAAAGCGAGGTTAAGTGCGGAGCCATTGACTTAAAAATGATTTTATTCTCAAGCAAATAGAACTTATTCTAACAAGAAGGTTTTCCACTTAGCCTCGTTTTGAAAGTGAGTGCTTTTGGAACTCGGAAATGGCCTATTTTATCTTATTCGATTGATTTTTCTTTTTATGCAATGGGGACTTTAGTTGTAATTAACGATGAGACGTTCTTTAATTTCGCGAGCGCAGAAGCCAGCGTTGACGAGAAGGGAAGAAGAAAAGGACGCCCATTGTATTATTGACGAATCGATGAGCTGCGCCAACCGGGTTAAGCTGGCTTCGCATAAGAATAGACATTTGTGCGCTGATTTCGAATTCACTTGGAAAGATACGAAGTATCGCTGTTAATAGAATCAGGCGTTCCACCGACTAAAGTAAAGCGCTTCGCAGACTTTTGCACTCGCAGAAAACGACGCCTGATCGCAGCTTACAGTGATTGAACGTAATTCAGATGACGAGATGTTAAAAATTATTCATAAGTTGGCTGCTGAAGCGCACCAATAAGCCCCTGAGCTGTACTAAACAGGTTGATGGGTGAACTGCCATCTGTGATAAGTGTAGACTTCAGACCCAAAGACTGCAGTAATTTGACCTGCAGAATAACAGCAATGGTAAGAGAGTTGTGAACACAAAGGGGAGGACTGAGTTCACAATATCACCTTTTTTTAACGTGTACACTTTCCGTGCACAAGGGCAAGGACTGAAAGAGACACAAATGCATTTGCATTGCTTATGATCATGCAAAAAATTACAACTTAGCAAGTGCTAATCGAATCTAAAAACAAAGAATGCGTGTGTAAGTGTAAGAGGGAGGAAGGGGTGGTGACCCTGACAGTAAATGTCCCATGAGGGTTCCCGCCCCCTACCCCCAAATATATAACCCCGACCTGTTCGTTCGAGCTATTTGTTTACATTCTTTACAGACTTTCGTTACCACGTGTAATGAGGATGGGTATAACAACTAAACCTTAATTAATTTAGTTATAAGACAGAGATAAGTGACTGAATAGGCTACGTGGCTTGAGATGTGTCCCAGCAAAGCTTATTGAGTATGGGGGAGATATGAATACACAAACTTTGCTGAGACAGTCTGCCTAACGGAGTCACTGTTGTTACAACATTAAGCCATGGTTTTCGATACAGTTACGTTAGAATTCTTACCTGCATCTCTGGCCCAGCTGTAGCGATTGCCTGAATAGTATCAGCACCAATAGACGACACCATGTTCTGAAATTTCTCTGTCTCAATAGCAGCCATTTCTTTGGATTTGGAAACGTCCAGACTGTTCTGTTCTGACTGGTATTTTAATTCGGCTTCTCGTTCTTTGCTCAGACGCTGTAGCGCAGATTCCTTATCAAAGAAAACAAAGCAAACCAAAACGATGAAAAAACTAATTGTGCAAAAGGAAGTCTAATCTTTACGTCGTCTGGCCAAACACATAGGATTTCCGCCACAGATTTATCCCTTTACGCCCCAACATCCACATACAATTACTCCACACCGATCTCTATACATTTCCTTCACGAATAAATTGCGAGAATTTGGTAGAAGATCAAAGCATTTTCTCTTAGATGATCATTTATTAACTCTCATAACCATTTCCCTTTGCAAAATATGGACATTGTTAGGAGAAAATTGATGTTGGTCACTATTGGGACTTAAAGGGTTAAAAGTTTCCAGTTATATACAGAAGGTCAGAGTTTTAGTGTTAAAATTGCTGAAGATTGGGTTCCGTCAAGAGGTTGGTTCCGTTTATACAAGTGTCCGCCCACAGGAGCTGTCTGTTAGCAAAGGTTAACCATAAACTTAGAACAAACAGCACATTGATCGAAAGGCTTTCATTTCAATGGCCACGAAGACAGTGATTACCAAGAGAATTAATCGAAGTTGTCTCATCCCCGTTTAGCTTTAAATGGTCCCATTATTGACTGCACACTGAATTTGAAAGTTTGTTTTAAAAGCGCTACAGATTTCTAAGCTACTTCCACACGTTTCGCCCGTTCAGTACTACTCTTAGCATAAATGCAAAGTACAAGATCTACAGATTAGCTTGCAAGAAACCCCTCTCGACGATCTCTGGGCTCTACTCGGTTAACGGGAGTGAGGAAGGGGAAGGAAGACCCCCTACCACAAGCCAAGAGACAAGGCTTGATCCCAGGCTTAAAACGAAACTCCACTCTTTCCTTATATCCTAAGGAACAAGAAAATGAAAGCTGCTTGATTCGAATTAATTTAATGAAACTAATGATAAGAAAACGTGGTGCAGGTAAGTATGTTAAATGTACATTAACATAACTTGGTGAAAGTAATTATGCTAAGTGTAAGTTTCCTTTTTGCAATTTAGTTAATATCAATTATTTTATTGTAATTCTTTAGTATGACTGACTGTTCCGCCTAGATTAGCTAATGCTCACGCGGACCAGTCTATTTACTGTTGTATTTGCAAATATTTTTCTAACAAAGTTGAAGTTGTTGTTGTTGTTGTTGAAGGCTACTCACAGCTTCAATCTTAGCAGCTTCGGCCTTTAACTTGGCCTGTTGTACAGCAGCTTCCCCTTCAATCCTCGCCGCCTCAGCTCGGGACTGAGCTTCAGCTTTAGCCTGTCCTGTTGACTCCACAGCTGCACTCTGAGCCTGTAACTCTAACAGCTCCTTCCTGGCGCGTTCCGCTTCAGCCTCGTCTGTTATCTTTTGTCGCTCTAGTCGGCCCTTGGCTTCTTGTTCCAGTCGCTCTGCTTCATGCCTGAAATAACATAAACAATGAATATTGAAGATAAAAGGTTTTGAAGAAAGCTCCCCTACCTTAAAATTTTACATGGTCGGAGACGAATAAGTCTTTAGGAGCTAATTTATCATCCCTGTCTCCGCTTATCTCCCCTGTCCTCCCTAGCCCGTGTCTTCTGTCCTCGTCTCCTTTGTCCCACCTTTCTTAACCCTTTAAGCCCTAAGAGTGATCAGCATCAAATTTCTCCTTGGGATATCAATGCTTTGTAGAACATCAAAAGCAGTCACAACATCTGATGCCCATTTGAATTTTTCTTCACTTGGAGAAAATGCCTTGTTCACAATGTCTATTTGTCCAGGATGTATTATTTGTTTGCCTGTAAAGAGAAAGACCAGGAAATATGGGTTGGACACAATGTGAAACCCCCTGCAGACAAGTCTTAGATTTCAAGTATGTCAGAGACAGTTAGACAGAAAACTCGATTCCCTCTAAATGGTGACGAGGGTGCGGAACTCCCGGTCATTTACAATCCTCTCCTGGGAATACGTAACAACATTTCTGTTACAAAACCTTACATTTCACATCATTGATGAAGTTCAAGCGCTTCAAATGAAATATTCGATTTGTTTGAAATCGGTGCTCTGAGTTTTGAAATTTGTATGCTAAAATGTGGAAAAGGTTCTTATGCAAATCTTCATATGCGACAGCAAATTTTCAGTGCACGTAAAGAACAAACTTATTAAAGCTAACAAATCCCTCCATGTCCTTAGAACGCTGCGCTAGGAGGGGTATAATCAGTCAGAAATAGACCTTCTCTTTGATACCATAGTTCTACCTAACATTAATTATGCATTATCTGTCTACGCCACGTCCAAGCCGATCTTACACCTGTACAATGTTTTCTAGGCCACTGTTTTAAAAGAAAATAAATTTCTAAGCCTGTAAGTGTTCTTAGAGAGGCAAGACCCTAAAATGTTCAGAAAAGTTTCTAATGCTAAAGGACATCTACTTTTATCTATTATGCCTCATGTTAACCTGTCCAGTTATTGCAAGAGAGGCTATAAACTAAAAGAACAACTTACAACTGTAGGTCAATAATCCTGCTTGTTTGAACTCACTATACCTGTGTATCCAAACCTTGCTCCTTCTTCTGCCTGTGATCTTAAACCTTCAGGGTCTAAAACAAAATAATACTCAATCTTGCTGTTAGCTGCTAAACATTAGCTAACAAATGATAAATAAACCAGTAAGTAAATCTGGAACATACATTGTCAGATATTTTTTTCAAAAGTGTGTCACCACAATACACTGCTCCTTTAATGTTTGTTACAATGAAACTAATTAGTAAAGCTATAACCCTGTGCTTGGTTTTTGTTCCTTAATGCCTAGTGCCTGCAAATGTTTATTCACTGCACATATTTTTCAAATTACCTTTGAAATTGATATACACCATGTCAATTGCTTGGAGGCCATACGCCTTGGCATGTACAACCACACTCTGACGAGCATGAATTAACTCCTTGACATCTTCAGTTCGGGTGGCCCCTAAAAAAAGAAATTTTTTGCACTTGATGTAGAAGAACTCACGGTAATCAATCAATCAGTGTGAACTACAGAATCACTAGGTGGCCAATTCTGGAGTTTTTTAAAACAAAATAAAAAAAAATACTCTCATTGCCAAGTGGTTAGAGTACTGGAATTTCAGTTTGGAGGCCTCAAATTCAAGTTCCACCCTAACTGATAGCTGGATTAGTTCTCAGTACTTAATCCTGAGTTCAAATCCTCAACTACCCCTGTAAAATTATAGCCAACTGGTTCGCCTTGAGCTGGATTTTTTAACCCTGTTATGCTTATTCAAATTATTTGTTTCAGTAACTGTTGTTTGCTTGGCCCCACTAGCCTTAGACTTACCACAAGCTGACATTACGAGTTTCACTTTCACAGCAGATAGCAAGTAGAGCAAGCTTTTTATGCTATGAAGCAGCCGAGTGAGCGATGAAGTTGTGAGAGGTCGATTGACAACTTTATCCCCAAGGTCCCTAAAGAGTAAATCTGATTGGTCTAAGCACAGCGACCTGTTTTTGAGTCACTAAAACTAGCAACGGTCAAGAATGAAAAGTCCTTCAACACGTAACCAAGATGAGTTTAGTCAACGGTGACGGCAACAAGAAGGGCAAAACGCAGTAAGTTTGCATTAGCAAAATAAGACTAGGCATGTTAGCTGTTGTTACATGACCATATTTTATGTGGAGGAAGTGAACGCAAGACAACCATTTTCTATATTATTGATATTGAAAGTGAGCGTTTTTGGAATTCAAAGGGTCCATTGTAAAGGATAGAATGAGTCTAATCTGGAGTTTATAGAAGGATAGGGTGTGGGTAAATGTATAGCTTTTTTGACATAACGACAACATCTGAAACAAAGTTAACATGTTTGCAAATTATAATAACTACCTGAACTAATAATCCTACCTATACTCACAAGAAAGTCATCAGAACCAAACACTAAGGCCTCAAACTTGAAGGCTTTGTCTTCAGCTCTGCCACGCTCACAGATAGCTCGTAGGTTCAAAAGACTAATGGCACTTTCCATCTGGGTGATTAGGCCAAGCTGACTGCTCTTGGATTTTGCGATAGCTGAAACTTTATCACTTAGCTGAAAGGGGCAATAAAAAAGTCAATCTAGGATAAAGCATGTTGGGTGAATTACCATTCAAATATGGAATTGTGAGTGTTTTATTCCCCTTGTTCACTAAAACTTGCATGTAGTGAATAGTGAAAAGACACATAAAGTAGTGGTGTGCCAGTCATCAAAATGTTTCAGTGATGTGATAACTGATTATGGAAAATATTAAATTGATGATTATTGCAGGAAAAAGTAAAATTTTTTTGATGGCAAATAAACATAGTAAAAACCTATGGATTGTCTTTTAAATGACCTCATAATTACAGAAGAAAAAGAATTTGATCACCCACAAGCCCAGAAAAAATTCTCAGTTGAGTGATCTACAGTCAAGAGACTCAGTAAGGTTGTATTACAAGTAATGGTACAGTCTAACCTCTCCTTACAGACACCTCTACAATACGGACACCTCTCTGTTACGGACAGTTCGTTTGGTCCCAGAAATGCCAAAAATCATACATTCCCTACCTCTATAATACAGACATCTCTGTAAATCGGACACCTGGTTCTGTCCCTTTGGTGTCCGTATTAAACAGGTTTGACTGTACTTTGAAACGAGCACCAAAGTTAGAATTGCAATCATGACAAAAAAACACACACACACTTAATCCTTTCATTTCTCCATGTTAAAAACGGTATCACTACATGTATGGCCTTATGAAGGACAGGTGCCCAAAATCTCAGCTTCCAAGCTTGCGCGTAAAAGATAACTGCAAGAATTTTTAAGGAAGGCTATATAAAAGAAATTTACCCAATCCAAATGTTCCACAGTGTCTACTTTGGGCACCACAATAGAGTGAGGCAAAACCTTCGCTGTTAGGGCAGCTCTTAAATCATCTTCCGCTAAACCAGTTTCAATAGAGTTGATACGGACACACACTTCACTAGAGCCAAAGTTCAGTTGACCAAGAAGATTGTGAATAGTGCTCCTTGCTTCTTCCTAAACAAGAAAATAGTTATGTCAACAAGGAAGCCCTCTGAGTGAGGGATGGGGGAGGGGGAGGGACAAAGGTTCATGTTTTGAAGAGTAGGCCATGCCCCTGTCAGTATTTAACCCATCTTTATGTTGTTTGTTACCATTTTATCTAGTCTTATGTTGCTGTTTCAAGGCCGTGTCGCTTGTCAAAATTTGACCCTAATATGGCCTCAACAAGGCCAACTAGTGGATGGGAGGCGGTGGAGGGAGAGGGGCTTGAAATAAGGATCTTTGGATTGTATGTTAAGTGTTCTAACCCCTCAGTCAGGCTGCCTAAATGTCGCAAAAACAACTGATTCAAAACAATCCAATGAAGCGTAAATCCACAGTGAATGGAAAAGCAAATGAAAACATATGCTTGTTGTCTGCAGGTCGTCCAAACCAGCCCAATTTTCACTACCTTTTTAAGGGATGAGGTGTTTTGATTGAAATCGAGAAATCGAAAACGATATCGATAGCAATAAAAAAAGTAACCATCGATTTCCAATGATGACTGACTCAATCGATATCAATGAAAAAGTGATTATCGTTAGTTTACTACCGATGTATTCCGATCGATTGGTTTTCCGATATCGGTTTTTATCCATTGCACTCGTCAGCTGTTATTAACATAAATGCATTTTCTAGCTAAGGACCAGAATTCCCTTTAACAAGACCGAAAAACAGACAAAATCTCTTTATTTCACAAGCTTTAAGTTTTCATAAAATTCTCCCAAATTCAACCCAAACAGGTTACCTTCTTGTTTGAAGCGACTCCATCTTCGCAATCCAAAACAACACAATCCGCTTTTAAACCAGTTGCCTTGGTCACTTTGCGCTCTTCATTTCCTGGGATATAGAGAAAAGATCGCCTTGGAGTGTATCCTTGTACATCACACAGCGTCCTAACCTGAAGCCTGCAAGGGTTAGTTTTAAGAAGTGTTCTGCACAACTTGGCCGCCATTTCTCTTCAGCAAGGTCCGCCATCATGTAAGCTTATTAGTGCGTCCCTATTCCAATGACCTGACCATACCCTAGTTAGTAGCCCCCACACTCCTAGCAGCTGCGTTGAAATTTGGTTCTGTGTTTGTTTGTGGAGTGAGGATTACCTCAACGTTGGGAGTTCTAGAGTTAAATTATAGAAGACTTCATCTGAAGTTAGAAAGAGAAAAGGAAAATCATTGTCTTTCGTTCACGTCCACCATTAAACATGAAATATGACTGGAAAATGGAGTTCACGTCAAAGTCGTGCACCAACGGCAAAGAAATGTACGAAAAGAACAATGCACGTGCAAAACTGCTGTTTTGCTAATCTTAACGTATTGATTTTTTGCCGTTCTCGTTGCCTTTCGGAGAGTTGGTGGACAGACGGATTGGACACTGAGACAGATGGACTGGTTTGAGTAAATGGGCGGACAGACAAACTGGACGGACAAAGGGACGGACGGAGGAAATAATGGAAGGACTGAACAGAAGGACCAACTGGACGGTGTGGATATGACAGAGCGAATGGACAGACAGACAGATGGACGGAGGAACAAATGGACTGGACAAAGGGACGGACACTACAGAGTGGACGGATGGAGTGGACAGGGTTTACAGACGGACGGAAAGACCCAGTGGATGGACGGAGAGAACAGGCAGACAGAGTAGACGGACGGATGGACTGGACAAACAGAGTGGACGGACAGAGACAGATGGGTGGACGAATGGACGGACTGAACAGACAAAGTGGAGAAAACGAATTAGCTTGCTAAGGTATCGTTACATTAATATGGGCCATCTTGTTGGTTAAAAGTGCCATGCTAAGGTATGGTTACATCAGTGGTGTTGTGGTCATCTAGTGCGACACCTTACTGAATGGTAGAAGGATTCGTAAGTAAGGGAAGCCGAGGTTTCTTTTTTTGTTTTCAGTTCCGAGAATGTTAACATAAGCGGTTTTGCTGATCTTGCAGCTGCTGGCATTTATTCTTCTGATCCCAATCTCCCGCCTTCTTGTCAGTTTTTGCAAAAGAGTTCAAAACAAAAGGCGTCTGAGGAGCCAGCAAAAAGTTAAGATAAATTCATCATGTGCGTGGTTTTAAAAATCAGGCATCTCCTCTCATTAATTCTGACAACAGTAATTAAGACGAAGATACCTTTGAAATTCCAGTGTAAAACAATTTAAAAGGCAACAATGGAAGGTTTTGTCTCCTTAAATACTCTAGTGAGCGCTTACAATATTGATTATTTCCATCCTAATATCCCACCTTTGTAAGAGACCCCTTAACGATCGTTATTGACATAAACCATCACACAAACTGCTTTTAAAGCATTTATTGCTTAGAGCATATTACAGTTCACCATGCATGAGAGCAGTATATTTCACCACATTATTAAATAAGTCTCATAAGCTATTAAACACTACTAGTGCAAAACGTTAATTTACTTATTCAAGTGTTCACTCTTGTACTGTAAGCTGTGCAACTCTATCGCCACGGCAGTTGGTTAAAGCCCGACCTATCCAATCGAACAGTTCGGCAATCGAACCCAATCGAACACCAATCGTTCGATTGCTGAACTCAATCGAACATAATCGAATTCACAATAAAATTTTGCCAATCGAACACAATCGAACGTTCGATCCTCTCTGTTACGGACAGTTCGTTTGGTCCCAGAAATGCCAAAAATCATACATTCCCTACCTCTATAATACAGACATCTCTGTAAATCGGACACCTGGTTCTGTCCCTTTGGTGTCCGTATTAAACAGGTTTGACTGTACTTTGAAACGAGCACCAAAGTTAGAATTGCAATCATGACAAAAAAACACACACACACTTAATCCTTTCATTTCTCCATGTTAAAAACGGTATCACTACATGTATGGCCTTATGAAGGACAGGTGCCCAAAATCTCAGCTTCCAAGCTTGCGCGTAAAAGATAACTGCAAGAATTTTTAAGGAAGGCTATATAAAAGAAATTTACCCAATCCAAATGTTCCACAGTGTCTACTTTGGGCACCACAATAGAGTGAGGCAAAACCTTCGCTGTTAGGGCAGCTCTTAAATCATCTTCCGCTAAACCAGTTTCAATAGAGTTGATACGGACACACACTTCACTAGAGCCAAAGTTCAGTTGACCAAGAAGATTGTGAATAGTGCTCCTTGCTTCTTCCTAAACAAGAAAATAGTTATGTCAACAAGGAAGCCCTCTGAGTGAGGGATGGGGGAGGGGGAGGGACAAAGGTTCATGTTTTGAAGAGTAGGCCATGCCCCTGTCAGTATTTAACCCATCTTTATGTTGTTTGTTACCATTTTATCTAGTCTTATGTTGCTGTTTCAAGGCCGTGTCGCTTGTCAAAATTTGACCCTAATATGGCCTCAACAAGGCCAACTAGTGGATGGGAGGCGGTGGAGGGAGAGGGGCTTGAAATAAGGATCTTTGGATTGTATGTTAAGTGTTCTAACCCCTCAGTCAGGCTGCCTAAATGTCGCAAAAACAACTGATTCAAAACAATCCAATGAAGCGTAAATCCACAGTGAATGGAAAAGCAAATGAAAACATATGCTTGTTGTCTGCAGGTCGTCCAAACCAGCCCAATTTTCACTACCTTTTTAAGGGATGAGGTGTTTTGATTGAAATCGAGAAATCGAAAACGATATCGATAGCAATAAAAAAAGTAACCATCGATTTCCAATGATGACTGACTCAATCGATATCAATGAAAAAGTGATTATCGTTAGTTTACTACCGATGTATTCCGATCGATTGGTTTTCCGATATCGGTTTTTATCCATTGCACTCGTCAGCTGTTATTAACATAAATGCATTTTCTAGCTAAGGACCAGAATTCCCTTTAACAAGACCGAAAAACAGACAAAATCTCTTTATTTCACAAGCTTTAAGTTTTCATAAAATTCTCCCAAATTCAACCCAAACAGGTTACCTTCTTGTTTGAAGCGACTCCATCTTCGCAATCCAAAACAACACAATCCGCTTTTAAACCAGTTGCCTTGGTCACTTTGCGCTCTTCATTTCCTGGGATATAGAGAAAAGATCGCCTTGGAGTGTATCCTTGTACATCACACAGCGTCCTAACCTGAAGCCTGCAAGGGTTAGTTTTAAGAAGTGTTCTGCACAACTTGGCCGCCATTTCTCTTCAGCAAGGTCCGCCATCATGTAAGCTTATTAGTGCGTCCCTATTCCAATGACCTGACCATACCCTAGTTAGTAGCCCCCACACTCCTAGCAGCTGCGTTGAAATTTGGTTCTGTGTTTGTTTGTGGAGTGAGGATTACCTCAACGTTGGGAGTTCTAGAGTTAAATTATAGA